AGGGTTCAGTGATGATCAGAAGTTCATCATCTGCAAATAAGCTTATTTTGTGATGGTAGCCTGCCACCTCCAAACCTTTGATGTCTGTATGTTGTCGTATTGCCTGAGCAAGAGGTTCTATAGCTAACTCAAACAAGAGAGGGGACAAAGGGCAACCCTGCCTGCTTCCCCTAGTAATGGCAAAGGTTGTGGAGCGGAATCCCTGACATTGAACATAGGGCATGGGTGTGCAATACAATGCGTGAATCCAGCGCAAAAAGTAAAAGCCAAAGCACCATTTAGTAAGGTTATAGCGCAAATAATCCCACTCCACGGAATCAAATGCCCTACAAATATCCAGTGCCAATAACATAGTTTGCATTTTCCTCTGATGAGTGAGGTAAGGAAGATGGGATATTCTGCTAACACTATCCCCAGCCTGTCTCCCCAACATAAAGCTAACCTGGTCTTTGGAAATCAGATGCAAAAGAGGGGATTGGAGTCTGATAGTCCAAATTTTGGTAAGTAATTTAAGGTCAATATTATTCAGTGATATGGGTTGATAGTTAGTCCATGAGCTGTGGTCAGCATCAGGCTTGAGTATCCTACATATGGACGATATTAGAGATTCCTGTCTCAATTGGCCCCCGTCTCGCAAAGCATTAAAGTAGGTAGTCAGGTGTGGGGCAAGGGTGTCCGCTAACTTCTTGTAGTAGATGAAACCGAACCCATCCGGGCCAGGATGTTTCCCATTTTTAAGCTGTTTTATAACATACAATACCTCATCAGATGTCATAGGGGTATGGATTCTTCAGGAAGGAAGGTTAGGATTGAGGGTAGAGAAGAATTCATCCGCATGTTGGCGGTCTAAGAGGCCTTTAGTACAGTACAGTTCTTGCAAGTGAGTTTGAAAAGTTCTTAGTATTTTGATAGGATGAGCCGCCACTGAACCACCATGGAGGTGGTGCTGATTAGGGTCATGTCTGAAGTCGGAGTCCCTAAGTCTATGGCCAATAAAGAATCAGGTTTATCTCCTTTAAGGTAGAATCTATGTTTAGTCCAGGTTAGCTGGTTATTAGATAAATGTGTAAGGCAAAGATTTAATTCAGTCAGGAGATGGAGTTAACGGGATCTATTATTAGGAGAAGGATCCTGTTGGAAGGCTTGGGAAGCTATCTGTAGATCCGACTCCAAATGGTTAATATGGGGTGTCCTCTTTTGCTTGACTTGGGAGGCTGGTTGGATTAGTTTACCACGAAGAGTAGCCTTATGTGCTTCCCAGACCGCTATCGGGGAGGATACAGAGGTGGTAAGGAAATAATTTTTATTACGGATGCACGGATACCGGGTTTTTTCTGGTACTCGCCGATACCGAATACCGGAAGTCCCATTAAGGAAACCGGGCAGCTTGTAATGACTTGCCGCCCGACTTCCTGATTAGCTGGGAAGCCAACTCCATGCTCTCTCATCACCAAGTGACAAGTCCAATCAGGAAGCTGGGGGATGACTCATTACCCGCCCCCCGGTTCTTGTTTGGTCGGGAAGCCGGCTCCATGCTCCCTGGTGACGAGGGAGCATAGAACCCGCTTCCCGGCCAATTAGGAAGCTGGGCAGGGTATAATGACTCGCCGCCCCGGCTTCCTGATACCTGAAGTCCTGGTAGCAGGATAGGCATCAGGAGCATGTTGGGCTTGTATCGGTATTGGTGCATCCCTAATATTTATGATATCCATTTAAATGAAGTCTATATGCCAGATTGCTTTGTCAGCTAAGTGCAGTCAGGTGTTGAGAAGACCATTCAGAAGTCCAATGAATTCAACAGATTGCATTGGATTATTCTCATCTCATACATGTCATCTTTCAGGAAAGAATTCTACTGAATATTTTAGCAGGTCTCCACATCACAACCAGCTTCCTATCAGAGAACCTTCTAAAGTGTATCCCAAATCTATTTCCAGGTCTCCCGCATGCAGAGTTTACAATACATTTTGCAAGTAACAACTTATTTTAGTGTCCCTAAACAAGCATTTAATCATGTGTTTAATGTGTATTTGATAATGCAAATAGTAATATGCAAAAACTATGCTTCACTGTGTGAGCATAGTAAAATCTGACAACTTGTTTTGGATATGTGTTAATTCTACCTTAGTAAATATTCCTACTGAAATCTCAGAACAACAGCACCAGCAAATGTGCTAAAGTGGGCCATACAAGGCTCAAATTTTGTGTTTTTTGTGATTGACTGGTTTTCGAATTGTGGGTGGAGCTGCCAACACCAGCCACTCAACAATCTTTGATTAAAAAATCAAAGGAGCTGGGCAGAAAAAAGTCAGTAATACAGTGTTGTCTCTTGTTTAGCCCAGCGGCTGAATGAGAGTGTTTAGACAGTAGTGTATGGTCAGCTTAACAAATCCAGGAAGGTTTAGTACCTTTGCTGTTCATCCTAAATTCCAGATAACTAAAACCTGAGAACTGGGTCTTGATTGTGATATTCCACTCTAAACTGCAATTGTTTTCTGTGGCTTACAAATTGAAATATATCATTTGGTAACAGAAACATTAAAACAATGTGTAAAGAGGGGTGAAATAGAGAGAAATTTTTGCTTGGAGTCCAGTTCTATAGCAGCGGTTAAATAGTGCAATTGATAACATTTGTAAGGGCATAAACTCAGTGTGGCTATGCAGTGACTCAAGCATCAAGTACAGAATTAGAGAACAGCTATTTCACATAGTGCTCATTATCAGAGCCGTAGCTAGCTCCTTTTGCGGCCGAGGCAAGAACAAAAAATTGTGCCCCCCAACAGACGTGTTATGTCACCCTATGCCACGCACGCACGGCGTCATGTGACGTCATGCGCCCCGCCTCCAGGATGGCGGCACCAAATAGCATACAAATTTGTTTCGTTTGACAAAACTAATGAAAACATTTTTAGTTTCCGTTCATTTAGACTAACATTGGGTGGAGAGATAATTTTTTTTAACTTTAATGTCATTTTAAGCACTTCCAGGCCGCAGTACGTCTATAGACGGTGGCCAGGAGAAGCTGTGTTGGATGTCTGTGCTCGCCATGGCAACAGGTGCGAGGGGGCGCAGCCAGGCTGGCCCTGGCTACGCCCCCTCTCAGCTGCGCCTGAGGCAAGTGCCTCACTCGCCCCATGGTAGCTACAGCTCTGCTCATTATACACACTCCTTTAAAAAACTTTGCATACACAGAGAGAGAGTTGTTTGATCAAACGCTTATTATAACCCATTTCCATCTAATATTGACATACATGGTTTATTGTGTGTTGGTTAAGAAACAAATTCCACATCATAGGCAGCTTCTCTTTGTTGTGGAAATGTTATACAATTATACTTGTAGTGTTCTAAAGTAGATATAAACCCTAATTGGATGACATTTGCCAAAGCTCTGTGAATCATGATCATGATTTTCCATGAACTGTAGCATTCACTTTTTTCTATAATTTTTTTTTATATCTCTGCTGCTCATCTCCTCCAACTTTTTCAGTCTCCTGTCTACATGCTCTCATTCCACTCTCAGCTGCACATCATTGTAATGGGCCTGCTTCCTGTTGGTGACAGCAATGGAACATGCCTGTGGAGTGTGTATTAGCACAGCCGCTTGTAGTCTTCACCAGGAGTACATGTGACAGGATGACAATGCAGTAGACAGTTGTTACCCTATAACAGGGAGTGTCTGAACAAGGCCGTTAATGGCAGGATTACCAAGTATTTTTTTAATGGAAGCTGCTAATTTAAAGACATTTAAAACAACGTACATCAATGTGTTAAAGCTAATGTGAGTTTATTGATTGCATTTAGATATATTTTAACATGGGGCAATCTGTCTTTGTGTAAGGCCCAGCTTCACTTTGGTATCATAGATAAAAGTACATTTCATGATGACACAGGTAGACATGCTACCATCTCCCATATATATATATTTTAAATTAATTGAGAATGTACAGATAATATATGCTTTTTAAATCATTGACAGACTTTTTACAAATTAATAAACGGAAAAATAGGTTGTGTGTGTTAAATGCTTCACCGTGTCCCTTTTACTTTAAAAATTATTTTTTTGTATCTGCTAGATAATACGAGCACCCAACTTCTGGTGCTAAAGGGATGAGAGATGCAGCTGAGATGCACCCCCTCTCTCTCCTCGTCTGTTCACAAAAAGCTTTGTATCCTTTTCACAGAATGCAAGAAGTTCTGTGAATGGACAAGGGGGGATCCAGTCACATTCTCCCTCCTCTCTCCTCTTTTCTACTCATCTTTTCACAAAAAGTCTTTCTATCCTTTTCACAGAATACATGGCATTCTGTCAATGGACAATAGGAAATCCAGTGTTATTCACCCTCCTCCTTTCCTCTCATCTATTCACAAAAAGCTTTGTATCCTTTTCACAGAATGCAAGAAGTTCTGTGAATGGACAAGGGGAGATCCAGTCACTTTCTCTCTCCTCTTTTCCCCTTATCTTTTCACAAAAAGTCTTTCTATCCTTTTCATGGAATACATGGTATTCTGTCAATAGACAATAGGACCTCCAGTGTTATTCCTCCTCCTCCTCTCCTCTCATCTATTCACAACAAACTTTGTATCCTTTTCACAGAATGGACAAAGGGATATCCAGTCACATTCCACCTCCTCTCCCCTCCTCTTTCCTTGTCCATTCACTAAACGCCTTATGTTATGTGAAAAGAATGCAAGATTTTTTGTGAAGAGACGAGGGGAGAGTAGAAGGCGGGCTTCACGGCCGCATCTCTCATCTCTACAGCGCCAGAAGTTTGGTGCTGCCTTGATTATATGGCAACTGTAAAAAAAAGTATGTGGGTGGAGTTCTGCTTTAAATCAGTTTAGGTCTTTGAATTATATGTATCCAAATTTACATTCTGGGCTCCACAACTTATCCCACAGTTTTTGGCTTTTATTGTCACATCATAATCTGAGATTATGCATGCCAGTTTATAAAGATATTGCCATTTTGTATGTTCCTGATTTCTTTTTCCTGCCTACAGGGATCTCAGCATGAACAACATTACCAAGCTTCCCTCTGGTGCCTTACATAACCTGCATTACCTTGAGGAATTGTGAGTATGTTCTCCAGAGTTACTGGGCAGAGTGAGCCCTTGCTCTTGTCTTTGCTGTGGGAACCAGATAGAACATTTCATAAACTGTCAGCACTGACAGATTTACATGACACGTGGGAAACATTCCTTTAAAAACAATCATTTCTGGTGATTTGTAGGGAAAAATATGGAATGGACGAGGATACAGATTTTTTGCAAAGGGCTCAACGATAAAAATATAAAGTTAAACATAAGCTGGAAAGCTTCTTGGAAATACTTAAGCAGCAGGATATTAAACATTTCAGTACTTGGTGTATGTTTATTAAAATAGACAGTAAAGTTATAATGAAAAACGGTTGTTTGGGTTTGATTGTGTCAGAAACTATGAAGACCAAGTTTTATGACAACAATACTCAAACTAATGGCTTTTAATAAAGACTTTTCTCTCTATAAATGTGATTTCACTAGAGCCCCTTGCTACTTTTATATAGATGTGCACACTTTATACTTATTTAACAATATTTCAAATAATATTTCAGTATGCATTGGATAGGTGTGACTTATGGAAACTGTATAGTGTATGATTCATAATAAATATCTGTCAATTATATACTATTTTGTATGTACAGATGTTAAATACTGTAAAATGCATTCTTTTGTTTGGTTATGTCCAAAAACAGCCCTTATTGACCAAAGTAGAGCAAACCGCTTCAGCTGAGGCATGTAGCGTTATATAAACACATAGGACCTTCAGCCTACTGCAGAAAAATAAGGATTTGCTTTCCCTCATTGCAAGTAATCCAGTGCTGATACCATATGGGACTACCAAATGACTCCTCTTGCATTTAGTTTCTGCGGTAGTGAATGGAACTTGCTGTTAATGCAGGTATCTCTTGTATTTCATTAACGTTTCAATGCAGTCAGGTATTGTGTTTAAGATTATGAAAATGCATAAAACTTCATAAGCAAAACATACTGACTACATCTGTATCATAAATCAATGGCATGCTCACATTCTTGGGGTTTTAATCTTCTCAACATTTTTCATTTAGAAAAGTTTAAAAAAAAAACACAACATCTAATGCATTCAACAGAGCAGTTTATAACTGCTAGTAAATAAAATTTTCAGTCTGAGAATGACATTTTTAAGATATTGTTTCTATGATTATTTCATGTAAGAAATATCCTTGAGACTTGTTCCTCCCCTGTCAAGTTTTTGAGAAATGATAGCACATAAGGTTGAATAAACAGACAATTATAGATGAAACCATGACTTATTTTCTGCTGCACTGATAGAGATAATGTGCTTCTAGCATGTAGATCAACAGATGTGTCCAATTTGGAGTGCCTGTAACTTTGCTTTAACTAGGTACAAGAAATAATGCCCATGCTTGTCCTAGCTTAGGAAACATATTAAAAGTAAGTAGAACTAAAACATTGATATGTGTTAAAATATGCAAGAATTGTGCTTTGCTCAATCTTATTTTGCCCTTGATGTTTTTTTTTCTTGAGACCCCGTTCCCATGTACCGACATACCTTTGCAGCGGCCGGGATAGCGCGACTTTCGGGGCGACGTTCCAGCGACGATATGCCGTCATCTCACGTATCTCACCTATGGTGAATTTTTTTCCTTTTTTTTTTATTCTGACGGCAGCAGAACCACCCGGCCAATAGAAAACAGTTGAGCGGAGCTAGCTGTCACTGCTAGCTCAGCACAATCGTGCCACAGAGGTACCGGGCAGAATAGCCGAGCCGAATGCCGCTCGGTGGCATTCGGCTATTCACTCACTGCTGTTCGGCATCAATGAAAATAGGCCGAACAGCAGCAAGCATCACTACCAAGTTGCATGTTAGTGCTGTATTCAGTAAAAAAATAAATCTTCTTAGTAGTATACAATAGGTATAATAGGTATATAGTATACAATAGTATACAAAAGGTACAATAGGATATAACTTTCAGTATCACCCAACAAGGAGATAGTGTCTGCATTTTAATCTGTGCCTATTACCATCTCAGGTCTATTTAGACATCCTTATTTTTCTTGGTGAGTTGTTTTGCTCATATAATGAAGACATTTAATTATAGGTATGAGGAGTTAATGTGCCATTTGTACAAGGGTCTGTAGAACTTGCTGACCTACATGCTAATGTTGCTGCTTTCCTAAGAAACCCATCTTACTTTGAGTATCAAGACCCTAATTCCTGAAACTGACATTTGACAGCAGTGCACAATCAGTCTGATACTCCAGGTGGTGATTATAGATATCAGTGTTACATGGTTCACATTACACAGAGGAGAGATAATCTGTTTGATGTCAAACCAAGCAAAATATTTTTTTGCTATGGGCTTTTATTTAGGGTGTCATGTTACTTTTCCTTTATGTAACTCCAGAAGGTGGACAGTGTACATGGCTATCTACAGTATATCTGCATGCCTGATAGGTATAGTGGAACATCCATAAATACCCTAAAAATGGGTTACTCTGTCTGTCAGAAACTTCATTTTAGTTTAGGAAAGAACTGCTATGCTGACTTAAATGTTATAGGATGTTTTGTACTGAATGGTGCAGCTACCTGAAGTGATGAGCAAGGTATGGATAGACACTAGTGGTTTACATTAACTGCTGACTTCCTATATTTCTTGGGAACTTCGGCACAGAGATTAACTCCATAGGCTACATCACTCTGTCTTTTGCCACAGCAATGAATGAGACAAGTAAGGTGGGTCTCACCTGCTATTTTATTTGTAACAGAGCACACCCGAATACCCAAAGAACTCATCAACAAGGGGGAAACCTACTCAAAGATGGCATAGCAGGTGGGTTATTCCACCCATGACCACAATATTAGTTATAGAGCAATGAACCTATTACTCAAATCTTTTCACCAGCATTATTTTGCAGAACATGAGCAAGGGAGTGACAACATAAGCTTTCTCTCTGTTGGGTATACTATATGATAATTTGAGGCCTGTGTAAATGTAAGTAGCTGTTAAATGCTTATTCGGTTTTCCAGGATCAGGCCTGTCTTGGTGGCGTTACATGGAGATTAGACAAATAATTACAAGTTAGAACATTTAAGTAAGACATTTTTCACACCAATTAAATATTGGACATTTTTTTCTGAATAAATTTTTTATACAAAACCAACAGAAGCTACCTTACTATCCTGCCCGTTAAATGACGTTACACACTAGTTATGCCACTATCCTGAGAGCAGTGTGGCCCAGACTCTAGAGCCAAAATGGAGAATATCTGTGTGAATCTCAACATCTATTCAAATCTGTACTTCCTGTGTTTAAACAAAGCACAGATATCCTACCTGATAAGATAGGCATTAAAAGAAAATAGCTGTGGAAACAGGCAAGGAGTGTTTCTTATAGTAGTAACTCAAGCTTTCAAACGGTGACTGTGAAAAACTTAACTAAGCGAATAAGAGTATCTGTGAAGCCAGTGAAGAAAGCCAAAAGAATATGCTGCCAAAAACAGTTGATCATTGTTCATAGCGGGACATATCAACTTTCTTTGAGATATTGAAGAGTTTGTTCTGCTCACACAAAGGTAGGGCAGAACTGGCAGCATACCAAGCCATTCTGCGTTCCTCATCTCTATTGTGCAGCCAGTGGGAGCAGGTGCTTTCACAAAACAAGAGAAAAAGGGAAAACACATGCTTGTAGTGGCTCTAATAGGTAGGTGTTATGGATGATCCTAGTACAAATTAGCTTTTGGTCCACTGTAAGTCTTCCTCCAAATTAAAGGAGACAAGGGATCTTGCACTTAACCTGAACTGGTGCAGGTGCAGAGAAATCAATTGCTAAAAGATTAAAACTCAAATTTTTTATGTATTTGTAAATGGATCATATTGTTTCCAGAACAATATTGGAGATTATGCTTGTTCTCAAAGATATCAGCTGTACACGTAATTGCATGCTACCTCAGAGATAATATAGATTGTTGTCTGCTGAACAAAAAAAAAAAGTTTCACATATTTCTTATAGTGCTTGAGGAGTTTTAGGGTCCCATTCACACCTCTACATGTGTGTTAACACACTCTTCGATGAAAGAGAGCATACTGGCTGAAATCATTCAAAACTGATTCGCTTTGGGTGGAGGCATGTACGTTGAATTACCCTTCTACTTAATACATATCTAAAGAGTGTATAGGATTTAATTATGTGAGAGTATCATTCTTGCTATTAGGTATTTATGTAACCATTACAAAGGATAAAGTGGGAACAGTGAGACATTTGTAAGACATTCATCATTCAGTAAGCCTTTTTTATTTGGTAACCAAACCCTTAACACAGGTTGTTGGTGAATAAAAACAAAAGTCTGTTGATAATCACAGTTTGAACATCCCACTAATATTGTGCAGGAATATTTTTAGGATATATTTAAACCTGTAAGATACCTTTCTTTGATGGTTTTAAAACCAAATCTATACATTTTCTTATAAAGAAAATTGGACACAGCTATAGCTGAATAATATACACTGTTGGAATCCATAATCATCTCATAATGTTGAAAAAGCAACTCTCTTTACTGTCATTTCCAAATAGAGGCATAACTGAAACCCTGCTCTTCTCGTGTTAGTCATATTTTCCCTGTAGCCTTTTCTTTACCATGTCACTGAAGCTTTTCAAATACAACTACTTTTTCTATTCTGCTTGGTACCTCGTAGGTATTCACTTACTGCAGCGGTTCTCAACCTGTGGGTCGTGACCTGTCAGGGGTCGAATGACGATTTGCCAGGGGTCTCCCGCTATTAGATAGCGGGTCCCGGGCGCCCGGGAGAGAAAAAGCTTTCTCCCGGAAAGGTTTACTCTGCTCGATCGAGCAGAGTAAACCTTTCCCAGGGATCATCCTTTTTTTATTTTTTTCTGATATCGGGAGCCGCCATAAGTCAGAAAAAAAAAACACCATAGGAAAGCATAGCTAGATTCCTATTGGCTATTTCACTTTGCAATAGCCAATAGCAAACTAGCTATTGCACCCGCCCTCTGCTGCTGCCTGAAGTTCTC